GGATCACAAATACGAAATGAAAATTCTCAATTTTAGAATTACAATATATTTGTTTTTGTTCACGCTACATACGTATTACTTCACTGTGGTGCAGAGGTAGCGCGCTCGTTTAAGGTGTGAGAGGCCTGAGGTTAAAATCCTTGTCGAGGCAACATTTTTTTTGAAGTGGCTTTTTTAAGGAAGTTGCCACGATATGCAAGGATAAAGTGTGGCTGTAATAAAAAATGAAAAATGATTTTTGATGCAACTCTAAAGCATGCAAAATTCCATATGTATCAATCACAAACTGCATGTTAAACGCAGTTCCTGCGTAAGATGAATAATAGTATATAAAAATAAACTTATACAGGAAAGATCAGAAAATACCACAGAGCATGCAGCCCTTTGATTATTTAAATAAAACATATTTAGTAAGAATTTTATAGATTTCAATAAATTTCTGTGATAAAATATGTTACTGAAAGATGTGCATAGTATATCATTAAGCACAAATGTATGTGAATGTGGTGGTGTGTGCGGGATGTCTGATCTATAATCAGACACACATATGCCCAACATTTGAGCCGCGTCACGACAAAACCAACATAATGGGTTTGCGACCAACATGGATCCAGACCAGCCTGCGCGTCCGCACAGTCTGATCAGGATCCATGCTGTTCGCTTTCCAACTCTTTTACAAGTAGAGAAACTGGTAGCGAACAGCCTGGATCCTGATCAAACTGCGCGGACGCGCAGGCTGGTCTGAATCCATGCTGGTCGCAAACCCATTATGTTGGTTTTGTCGTGACGCGGCTCATTTGTAATTGACTATGCACATGTTACAAAAATAAACAACTTCCTTCTTTCCTTATTATACATGTATATTTTAATGCGTTACATACCTATTCGCCACTACTAGTGACTCTGAGACATTTATTAAGTTAAAAGGCCAATAATTTTTGCTATTTAATGTCCAAGTCATTAGATAAGACCTTCGCAGTACCTAGGCAGGTGCTAGACAACTGGATGACAGCATAATATGTTTTGGTAAGGGAGTACACTAAGAAGACTATTGCATGAAACTGACACGTATATATTCCACGTATATTTGGGGGTAGGTGCAGCCCTTAAGCCAGGGCCTGAAACCGCCACTGACTGTACGTGTAACTGCCCCATTGCATCACTTTTTACGAGCATATTTTTTTCTATTAGACTGTATACATATATAAAATTATATTGCATAATCCTTTACTACTTGTATTTATATTCTTTCAACTGCAATGTATGTATTAAACGCTTAGTACGTATTTATATATACATGTACGCAGTATCTATACGGAAAATTCCGATGATAGGCGAATCGTGGAAAAAATTCCGTTGACATCGATAACAGAGTTCTCGCCCCTTAACAGTACATAGTCATAATGTAAGATGATCAAACATTATCCACAAAGCCTCAGACACCGAGCTTTATTAAGCATAAACACTGCATAATGGATATAAGCGAAAGCTTATAGTAATCACGCCATGCGAGCTATAAGTCATATTTTAAAAAATCCATCAGGGAACATTAAATAGTTAATTTTAAATGACTTATACATAAAAGTAATACAAAAAAACTAAACCGTAAATGGTTTGTATAGAGCATGAAGAAAGGTAGCTTATGCATAAAGGTATATGACGTTAACATTTTAGTATTCCAAATGGCTTTTTCCAGTTTATTTAGTTATCACTCAATGAAAGAATTGGTGACTACGAAATGTTTGAATGAAATAACGAAAAATGGAAACCAGCATAATGCAAAGTTTAAATATCATAAAGCAAGATGGAATCAAGCATAATGCAAGTTCTAATGTCATGTAGCAAGATAGAATTAAGCATAATGCAAGTTCCAATGTCAACAAGCAAGATGGAATCAAGCATAATGCAAGTTCCAATGTCATCAAGCAAGATGGAATTAAGCATAATGCAAGTTCCAATGTCATCAAACAAGATAGAATAAATGCATTAATTCTGTTCCATAAAACTGCTTCACATTTTCTGTGTTTTCATAACAAAGAACACAAAGTATGACCAATCCCTGGTTCATGTAGTTGATGATACACTTGAAGGCTATAACTTTACTGTGTCATGTTTTGTTGACACTGTCAATTTCCCACAATATAACATCAAAATAAGAATACAATATAATATTACAGTATACAATGCATGATTTCATAGTATATTTTACAGTAAAGCAAATTAAAACTATACTATGGATGAAATGATGTTTCAAACTTTTGAAGTTGATAAATATTTGAAATTAAATTAAATCAAGATTAAAGCACAGGTACAAAGATTGGCAGGTGCATAGCTTAAAGTTACCCTCTCTCCCCACATACACTTTCTATCTAAAACATTATCTTTCAAATTTAAATCCATGCATTTCTAAAAGCAGAAAACTGTAAATTTTTATTTTTTCTTAATATATCTCTTTCTCGATGTAATTGCATGTTACAAATATAGCTAATGTGACACGTGTTTATATCATTCATTAACTGAAATGTCTATTTTTCCTGGACTTGTGATCAATTTCAAGGGAAAGCTATTTGTACCTTGTGCAGACATTTTGTGACCTAAATTTTTGTATAAAATCTATGCAGTAATACCCCAGGGCATTGAATGAAGATAATAATCTATTTTTAAAGTAACTGGTTAGATTCAATAGAAGGTTAAGCGTTAACCCTTTCCCTCATGAGCATATTGTGAAAAATGGCCATTTTCACTGAAAAGCCTCCTCTTACAAGTTCAAACTGATATGAAACTATAACAAATGCTTCAATACTAATCAAACTTGGCACAAATGTTGACTGGACCATTGCCTTTGTAACGACATGCTCAGTCTTAAATTTCCTGTTACCATGGCAACGAGGGGACATCTCAAAATTGCCAAAAATCACTTTTTTGCCTCGATTTTTTCCATCAAATTTTATTTCAAAGTGCTGCAACTTCTCAAGGAATTGAGATAGAGTCAAAGGCTTTTCAGCGTTGGTTACACGTTACCTTATGATCAACCTGGGGACATTTTAAGCCTCTCACAAGACCAAAATTTTCTTGGCGATGAGGGGGACTCCGCCCCCCTTCAAACCCCCCAAACAGAAGGGGGCACATCCCCCTTCTGGCAACCCCCTGATGTATTATTTGGATGGGGGACGCCGCCGAAAAAATGGTCACTTTTTTTAACAACATTTCTCAAACGAAAAACAGTGTTTGGGGTCTAAATAGGACATTTTTTCACTGTTTGAGGCCTCAAAAAGGGGGGGGGGCAAAAAGCCGTCGAAACACGCTTATATAAGGGAAAAGGTTAAAGTGCAGTGCAAGAAAACAGAACCATAAAGGGCTTCATTAGAACAGTTTGTTTTGATACACTGATTTACAGTATAAATAAATGAGAAAAACGATTTTTAACGATTTTCAAAAATTATATGAAAACAGTTCAATTACTTCATCTGTTATTGTGTGCTGAAAGGTTGTAAAATCTACAGACAGAACTGTAGTTCTAACCAATGTTGTTTTATAAATTGAATAGGTATGCATGTTTCTTCAAATAGATAATTATATTATCACCAATGTTATTCTTGTTCCAAAAGATTCTATCATGTTTTCAACAGAATGCTTATCATGGGTTATGCCAAGTGTTTTGTCTGTATGCTGTTGGAAATCTATTTTGAAACTTCCAGATATCCTGTTCAGATTGTTTGTAAAAAATATATATAAAGTTAGGTTAAAGTTGTCAAATTTTTGTCTAATATTCCTCCTTCAAATAACATTCAGTCTTGTTTTTTATGTTAACAGTAATGTCCAAATTTAAAGATATTTGAAATGATAATGCCACAACAGATGTTTTGATGTCACCACATAAATACCTCTCAACATATGTCATGACTGTGTTTAAAAGTATTTATTTTGTCATGACTTGGTTTATCTCTTGAAGGGTTTATCTCTTGAAGGATCACTTTGAATGGTTTAAAAATGATGTAAAATACAATATTTGGAGTTTGGTGAAAAAAAAAGGATCGAATGATACATGTATTTTTAGGTATTATTAAACTGAATTGTTTTAATGCAATGAACCTGCACTATTTTCCAACAGTGCATTACGACAATGAACTTGTAATGATATTTTTTGACCATTTTCTACAGCAATGAACCTGTAATGATATTTTTCTTTTAACATTTCCCTGCAATGAACTTATTATGATATTTTTTGTCATTTCCTTACAGTGAAGAATTTATTTTAGGTTGTTTATGTAGGATAAACAGACCCTCCAACTTGTTCCTTGAGCCAACCCACCATTACTACATGAATGGAAACAACTGCTTGCCTGTAATTGGTTTGAAACAACATGGCCAGCAATACTTAAACTGGCATACCTGACAACTGTTCTTGAATTCTATACCCATATTAAACTGTTAATCCACAAATTACAGCCAACTTCCTTACATGAATTAACAAGAATGAATGATTTAACAGGTGCAGTCTGTATCATTATTAATATCATCAACCTAATCCGAGTAGAACCACTGACGTTCTGTTAGAATGCAAAGTCCCTGTAGGGATCGAAAACACAGCGCTGATGGGCAAGTGGTTTGAATCAACAACCTTAACCACTCAGCCATGGATGCCCTTTAACCAAACTTCATTAAGACAAGTTTAAATTCACCTTAGACAAGGTACATGTAAGTGTAGTCTTCAGAAGTGTTTGTACCACCAATGGATACTCCCCAATAATGAGGTGATAAATCTCAGAAAAGTTTTTAAATATTCAGCCTCAGTGAACATTACCAGTATAACCTGAAACCCCAATCAATGTCAATATACCTTCACATCAAATGTTTAAGAAAGTCAATAAATGAAGATCAGCAAGAAAAATGTTAGTGTGCGAAAGATTCCAGAAGAAAAAAAGAAATTAAATAAAACCAAATATCACTAGCAATTAATTTTTAATCAGCAGATGTTTCATGCTAATATCATACTATACCTGATAGTAGGTTGGCATCAATTACTTCAAATGAGTAGATTTTGCGGTACCATGATGTTGCCATGTCCGGTTTGTCTGGATTTCGCTCTTCTTCCTCATACTTTTTGTCATCCCACAATAATTCAATCCTAAACACATCAGGATCCACTATAGGTTCATCAAAATACAGATTAATCCTATCCACAATACCAAAACCAAGTTTCTCAATAGCTTCCTTCTTTTCTTCAGGCAGTGCAGGGTCAAACAGTCTACCACTTGATGCTTTAAGCACTCCAAGTGACATTGTTGTGATTACATGATCTACATACACTTTTTTACCATTTTCACATTCAATCAAAATTTTATTTCCATTATCATTTTTACATTGCTGGACGTTATCACTTGAATGCTGCTGTGCACTCTGTTCATTGTCAGCCCAATGTATACATTTCACTGAATGTTTTAACCAAATGTTTTCTTCAGGTACAGAACTTAGAAGTATATCTAAAACTGACTGAAAGCCAGGAGGTATTGTATAATGCACGCCGGGCAATTCTTCGTAACACCCAAATTCACTGAGTGATACATCACCTAGATCATTACATCCAGACACAACAGTCTCTTGTTTAAGATGCTGTGTAAATATCATATGACGAAGCCTTTTCTCAGAGTCAGAAAAGTTCATCCAGTTTTCAACAAATTTCTAGCTTTCATAAATTCAACTAAACTGAACATTCAATAACGATTATGGCATTCATTTTATAAACTTTCATGCTAATGAATTACATCCGTAGTAAGTTCATCATTACTTTCAATAAGATTTTGCTGGACCTATTTCCATTCTCGGTTGTCTGGATTGTCTTCTCCTCTATCTTTTGTAGCCACATAATTCATTAAACCATTAGTTCCCATATAGGTCAGAGTAAAATAGGTTTCTCTCAATACCAAACCAGTTTGCCCCAATCTTCCTTCACTTAAGACTTTGCATCTAAACATTACACTGAAGCTTAACACTTCAAGTGACATGTTTGATTCACATGGACTACATAGCTTTATTACCATTTTACATTAATAAAAATTTTATATTTCCATACTCATTTTTAAGTGTCACGTGACGTAATTGATTTGCGGGCTGGCATCTTATTGTCAGCCCAGAACATTTCACGTGAAAATGAAACAATGACATTCAAGGTCAACAAGTCTCAGAATTAGAGGAACATGTAATTTGGGACACATTTCAAGGTTTAAGTTAACTACATGACTGTACAATAGAAATTTGGCATTGTAAAAAGGCTCCTACCTCTATACTATGTGTTTTGACAGAAAAAAATTGGACAGTTTGATATTCAAAGCAGGGAAAGTCCATTACACAAGAATTTTCAACTTCTGTGAATGTGGGGGATTAAAATCAAAACAGTCCAACATGATACCACTTCCTTTTTGTTGAGATGGTATCTCTGTTATAAACTGGGGTTGAAACAAAGCAAGCTTTAGTGAAATGTACTTCATGAACTAAACTACAATGTATGTTATAAACAGTCATATTATGTATTTTAGGGATGGTTTTACACGAGAGACAGAGACAGATAAAGGGAATGCAATTTGACTCCTGTAAAAATACCCAGTTGATTTGTGGAAATTTTATCTCATAATAATTATTATACATTTAAACATCATTAAGCAGAGAGAGGAATAAATTATTATGTGTAGGAACCCGTAATATTTCTTTTGCAATATAATGGGCATGTCAAATATTTCACTACATGTATTTCAATTATAATCATTCAATTTACATGACGTAAATACTTTACCCATGTTCAAAAATTCTATTTATACTTTCCCAAAAACTTTAAGGGAAGGGCCCCTTACACTTCCTGTTAAAAAAGAAGCCCTGCTTTCCATTAAATAATGTTTATCATTTATAATCATTATGGATTAAGTTTCATTCCCCTGAAGACTTGTCATGCAGACAGATTCTCTTAATACAGAAAACCTACAGTGGTCAGAAATGGAGAAACAAATCAGTTGATTTATTGAGTGGTCAGATACCTCAAGTATCATGACATGATAAAGTATCTGTCAAACTCATGTTACACAAACAGTGTTTTTTTACACCAAAATATTTGGCGAAATTCGGTCCCATTCCCCCCTCAAAATAGTATGTTTTTTCCCCCCTCAAAGCCTCAATTTCCCCCTATATGGCAGCCCAATTTTCCTGCAATAAATATCTTTTTTTTTGCAACCAACTGCTGAAAAATGTTTTATTTAATGCCTGTAAGAGTTACTGTTAAGCAAGGTTGTTTACAAATCGTTCTCTGGTAGGTAAGGGGAGCTACTCCCGGCGTCCCAACAAGTTTAACATACGACGCATCAAATTTTAGATCCGTATATTAAGAAAAAGAGACGTATTTTAAACTTGTGTTGCAAGAGTTGCTCCCCTTTTCCACCGCAAAGAAAACAATATAAAATAAGTAAACAAATAAAATTCCCCCTCCTATTGCATTTTTCCCCCTCCAAAGGGCACCGACCCCCTTCCCGCAAAAGTGAGAAAAAAAACACTGCATGACAAATATAATTATATTCTTCCAATGGAATTAACTCTCTCCCAACTTTACAAAACATGAACTACAGACAGTTTCTATATATCAAATGTAACAATACAATAATATGTTACTGCTAGTGGTTTTATCAGTTGAGTCTTCTCAGTAGGCAAGTGCTGTATTATTATCAAACATGAATAGCACTGGGTCTGGACTCTTTATTTTTAGACTAATACACTGCAAACCCACAGTAATGCTAATTGAATAACAAATTCTAAAATCTTTGAAAATAAGGGCTTCTTTACTGTTATAGTGTTTAAATGTTTGCAGATGCCATCCTAGACAGTTATTCTTTGTAGTCATTTAATCACTGCAAAAGTTAAGTCATTCAATTTTTCCCAATTTTTAACAAAACATCGCTGAAATTCCCAAATCCATGGGTATGGGTCATGTTCCCAAAATCCTTGAAAAGAAACCTGTCAGGTATTCTAAAAATGTGTTAAGGAAATACAATGCTTTCATAGCAATTACTGTTTAGGGCCTAAAGTCTTTCACAGACAACACAATTATTTTTTATTGTGCTTAAACTCTTTATTGATTATTCTATCTGTTTGAGCACAAAGATCAGTCATTCCCATTATTCAAGTAAGGGCAGCCTTTGTTACCTTAAAATTACTCATATCAGATAATAATTTATCTTGACTTTTTCAAGGACATGTATGTCTCCCTCTATCAATTACTGTTTATAGACGGAAGTATTTTCAGATATATTCTGTAATTATACGTTTCTGACCTTTATGCTAAAAGATTTAAAATAAGCAATGTATGTACATTGTATAATTATATCAACATATATTACTACATACATATTCTTCCAATGAGCAAACACGTTTTTGGTGAGGGATGGCCATGTTGACATGGCTCTTGTTACATTTAATTTTCTATATTTCAATAAGGTATTTTCAAGTTAAAACAATGGATTTCATAAAAATCAATAAAGTATTTTGAAATTTCACTGAGAGAAGATCTTAAAATATAGTATGAAGTCATCATAAATATTACAATTTTATACATGATTATAACTATGACAGGTAAAGATACAGTTGCAGTGATTTACATTTTGTCAATTTTTTTAGATAATTATAACACCTTGTGATGTGAATGTCTTAACTTATAATGTTTACAAATAATGGTACATTATATGTTTACTTTTCAGTCACGTAAACATTACATTATGTACCAAAGATAACTTTACTAAAATAAGTCAAAGGTCAGAATTTATTTTTAGTTCAATGAACTAAAATTCATGCTATATCACCATCTGATTTAAAGCTCACCCCACTGTGACAATAGTTCAAGGCTGATTTTTTTTAAAACTGGTCACTATAACAGAAATCTGTCTTTTTTCATGTTGATTTAATCATTTTTTCATTAATACATTATAACTCTTCATCCTTCAATGATTTTACATTCAGCAATGTTCATTAATAGGGCAATAATTTAATAACTCCATTAAATAATAAATTAGAATAGACTGTATACCATAATCAGTTTGGTATATATATTCTTTCTTTCTACCATAACTTCTACAATTATTAAATAAATCAAACTTTATATGAATATTTAAGTGTATTCTTTGTTTATAATAGTCACAAACAGGGTGTTTTCGTTTCACCTGTTTTACTGTTGAACTAAATTTCTGGATGGAATTACAAGATAAAGGTTAATGGTCAGTTTTTAATATAGAGCCTAGTCAGACTAAATGGGTTTGCAGGCTGGCCTAGCTGAGTCTAAACTACTGGTATTTATAAGGCTAATCACTTTAAATTTTCTTTTGGAATATTGCTAAAGGTGATTATTTGAGTTAGACTCCTGGTGGTGTTGGTAGATTTCACTGCAGATGATGGCAGGATCACAACAGTAAGCCACATTGATTTCACCAGAGCACTGTTCAACCACTGCATCATTTTAACAAACACCTTTATATACCCCAGATTCATGCAAGGAAAATACTGTCAGACTACATTCCTGTAAAACCTACCTCTCATGACCAATCTCCCTAACCTACAACAGGAAGTTTCTGTAACTATTTCTACATCAGTTCAAGGTCAGTTCCTGTAACTATTTCAAGGTCAATTTCTGTTACTATTTCAAAGTCAATTTTTCCAGTACTATTTCAAAGTCAAACTCAAAGATGTTTGGTATGCATGAAATGTTGCTTTTTATGATAATGTAACAATTAATATTTATAATTGTCCATGTAGAAAAAATTAACTAAAACTATGAGTAAATAATTCCATTTGATCAATGTGCTATCACTTAAAACTAAACGTTAGTGTGGCATTTTGAAATACATTGTACATGATCATATGTTATTTCTCTTTGCATGCTTTATATCAATGTCACTATGTAGCACATTACTACAATGTAGGACAAGATGTACATTAGTATAATAAGGGCTCAGACAGAAGTCAAAATATAATTATATATACATGTACATGTATAATACATGTATTATTGTTAAAACAGGCCTTAGTCATTGTCGGATACCCACAGCCGAACCATTAAAATTTTATTGATTACATGTTATTTTACATCAACCATGAGTATCCGACAATAGCCTTAGTTTGCTATATTTTTTTATCAGAAACCTTGAATCTATATACAGACATTGTTATTATTTTATTTTATTTCTCTGTACATAATAATAGTCCATGATGAATGCATATAGTAATGTTAGCATATTAACCCAGACAGAGATGAAACAAACAGAAGGTAAAGGACATCCGTGTAGGTAGCTCTGGGTTACACCTGATGGATGTCTTAATCATTTTGTGACAACTTTTGTCACCTTTTGTAATGAAGTACACCCTAAGCATTAAGTACAGTCCTATACAACTGGACACACATGTAATAATTATATGTTAAACTTACAATTTTCCATGTAAAAATAAAACGATAAATGGTTTTGTCCTTATCAAAAAATGGACAAGTCAATTAAATTCAATTTCAGCCAGCAAAATCATCCGATCAATGAAACATTAATGGCTATTTTTAGACCAATAGGCCAGAGAGAAATATTTACCTGTGCTCAGTGACCTGATAAACAAACTGAACCAAACAATGACCTACTAACCTCAGTGATTGTCAATTTAGCAATTTTTTTTAATAACAATAGAAGTCCACTGTCCTATGATTCATATATGTAAGATGTAAATTATATATGTATTATGGGCAGTCTTTTTTTCTCTCTAGATTTATTGAAGGTTTTTATTTTAATATTATATTTATAATATTGAAAATCAAGATGAAATGCAAATACTTGTTACCTGGCAAATGAGTTTAATGCATGACTAATCAACTTTACTGATGAAACGAACAATGTGAGATTCAAAATTGGCAAACAAAAAAGAGACAAAATAGGAAAATTTTATATCATGTAACTAAAGCAAATTGTGAAATACATTTTCCATAAATGTTGTCAATAATTTGTCACTATTGATATTTTTCAAGACTCATTTTTTTCCTAACTTCATGAAAAACTTAAAACATGTTAGCCTAGTTCACATTTCAAGTGAGGACTGTCTGAGAATTGGGATTGATAAGACACCCATTATAATTTGAGATCTAAGAGAAACGATTTCCATCCTGTCCAGGAAGAAGGGTGTGTCGCAAGCATTTTGTTCAGATTTGAATACATTGAAATGTTAAAAATATTGCTACAGAACTTAAACATGAGTATTATGACCAGTGTGTTCACTAGCCATGAAATCCTGAGGGTCATTATCAAAATTTGACCCTCCAGTTAAAATCCTGAGGGTCAAATCTGGTCTTAAGGAAATTTGAAGGGTAAAAGAGTCATTTCAAGGGTCAAACGCACACCCTGATGTCTAATTTTCTTTTGTGATAAAAATTAAGATAAAACTATAACTAAGCTTACTAGTAGCAGTAGTAGTAGTTAATGACTCCTCATGATAAAGATCAAATCATTCATGTATGTATGATTCCAAATGGGCCAAACCAGAAGTTTCAGAGGTATCTGTCAGAGCGAAAGTGATTGCAATTCATTCAGTTTTCATCACATGGAAATAGATATTTGGACTTTTGATAAACTATATAAATTCATCCATATCTCAACATTTTTTTATCTTTCACCTTCTGAACTAAGTACTAGGTCTTTAAAACTATAACTAAGTCTCAACAGGGTGTGTCTTTTTCATTATTTTGAAATCTAGAAGTTTATGAGACAGAGTAGTAGTCACTAGTGGTAACAATGAAAGTAGTCTTTTTTCTAAACTTTGATATTGCTTAACCCTACACATTGGTTAAACTACATGAAACTTTCCTTGAGCTTTTTGGTAGTGTCTGGTAAGTATCACTGTATGTAGTTCTGGCTAAGCCGCTTTTTAATATTTTTGTTTTTCATCTGATGCGGCATTAAAGTTTTGGATTAGACCAATTATGAAACCTAACAAGAATAACATAAGTTGATTTAACCTTATTTTTCACTTGCAAATACCCTTGTCCCAATAAATTCTTGTGAATTTTGCGATAAAACAATCATTTTAATATCGTTCTAGTACCATTTAAAGTATCAAAATATTCATACTGTCATTAAAATTGCCTATTTAAATGTAAAACATCAATTACGCCGACTATAGTCGGCCATGATATTTAGGAACTATGCGAGACCTCGTTTGACATTATTCGCAGGAACCAATTAGAGTAGAGTCATGTACTATAATAAGAACATCTTTGTTGACATGATTTCAATATTTATATTTCTATTATATACTTATGAATGAAATATTGAGATCGCGGGAACCGATTAGAGTAGAGTCGTGTACAGTAATATATATTTTTTTCAAAATATGCTTTACTTTACATCATGGCATGTTCGATGAATGAATACCAGCATGTCAGCTTCCTGGCACGATTATTGGTGGACTTTCCCTACGGGTCTGTCTTCAGCTTTCACGTCATGTTATACTAATTACTATATAAATAGGTACGCTTGTAAGTATGTTACTAAATTAATGATGTAAAATAAATAATAACCTGCTCATGATGTTGAATAATATTCCATTTCTGATAACGACAGTAAAAAATCTAAGACCAAATTACATTACATGATAACATTTATTATAATAGAAACTGTTTAAATGACAGAATGAAAAGTAACCTACTTTTAAGTGGAAGTGGAATGAACTTAATCTTAAAGTTTTTGGGCTATTGAAAGCAAAGTTACCAATATCTTTAGTCCAAATTCTGCCACCAATTCTGTCTGTAGCCTCCAAAATCTTGAAATCAGTAAATCCATAGGATGCTAACTTTTCTGCTGCGGAAATTCCAGAGATCCCAGCGCCGATAATAGCAACTTTAGTGTGTACAACTGTGTCATGAACGTCGGTAGCCATTTTTTTGTGTGTAGATGTTGATCTTCAAGTTCAAGATGACCTTAAACAAATGTATCAGATATTAAAACACGGAAATAAATACCTTTTTCAAAAACTATTTAGTTTTTAAATACACCCTCTAGATCACCAACACAAATTTTAAATCCAAAATGTTACAGTAACGGATATGTGTCTTCTCTCATAACGACAACGAATGATTATTCTGTTTTCACACCGTTGACGTCATCAAGAAGGTGTGGCCTAGTGTGAGGTCAAAGGTAAGATTTTAGTTTTCATTATCAAAACAAACATCACTGATACATATAAATGGTCTGCTTTTCCATGTCTTGACAGTCTTTAAAGGTCATTTACGTTAATACCTACTAAGATATATACAGTACTGTAGATTCCATTCATATTATCATGTGTATCAAAGTTCGTCTGCTACTCAGTGTGACTGCACTGAACAGTAGGCACTTCCGGGTTGAGCAACAGAGGTCGTTACAGTGCATATTGCATATTTAATAGCGATCGTCACATGAATTTTTTGCAAATATGGTCTATACTGTAGATTCATGATGTATAATAGAGCTATGTAGTATGTACAGAGAACCATCCTTAGGTACTGCAGTAGAATTTTTCTGACACTGACAGTACTGTATCGACACTGTACTGGAAATGCACTGTACTTGCACTGTACACATACCGTACTAGTATATTGTGAAAGATAAAATAGGCCAACCACAGTGTAAGTTTTCATTTTTTTTAAACAATTATAAAATTCATTTTTTAAGAAGATCGAAATGTGATTAAATACTCACCTGACTTTTCTCTATATTTACCCTTTTCATGCTTTTTGTTTCGGACCGTCGAGATAATTTTTCCGTCGTGGGTTCTGATCGACTGATGTTTCCAAAGCATGCGATACGTAGGCCTATGAACAAAATGTCACCAATTGGATCCAAAATAAGAGTTTTTACGAAATCCTACTACAGAACGATGCTAAACATTCAAATAAACCCTTATCAATTGAAACATTTATTTAGATTTGTAAAGCTTCATATGTGCTGAAAAGATCCATAGGTGATATAATAAACCATCTACAAAACTATGGATCACTTTCATATAAAAAATTAAATAGCCAGTCTTAAGAAACAATTAAGTTTTCGAAGCTATGGCGTGAAAGTACATTAGTCCATGTGTTCGGTAATAAAATGTCACTACAGTACACCAATGGGCTAACTATCTGATGCATGCTAAGCAATAGAAATACTAAAAATACCGATTATTTTGACACAGAGCGAATACTTCTCTTTAAACACAGGTGTGACAAATGTAAGTGACCAAATATGTGTATTTACCTACCTATCATATAATTTTAATTTATATCTATATACAGTATAGATAAACATCACTTCAAGATTAATAGATTTTCACTCACAGGCACAAGTATTTTCTCCTTGATTGTCATGCAGTGAAATGCAAGTTCTCCTCAAAAAAGTATTATACTCTTGTGTCGAGTAAACAGCGTGAAATCAAACGAATATTTGTATGAAAATGGTTAATAAAGAATCATGAACTTAAATCTATTGATAATTTTGACAGCAATCTGTTATTGTTTCATAATCATAAGTGTTTATATATGTATACTATTATTTGTAGTGATTTATATTGTCATGGGTGAAGTAACGTTTTATTCTATAGTCGACATTCTGTTTCCATGTTTGTTGTAAATGGTATACGCTTATTATTTTACATAATGAAGGTTCTCTCTGGCGACAATGATCGATGTCAACTGTGTGGAATAATTCGAAATAATTTAAATGAATTTGACATGGGTTTTTTTACTTTCTCAAACTTAATTTTTTAACCTTTTTCAATATCGGCATAAGTAGCAGCATAAGTGACTAAAGAGAAGCTTCTATACGTTTACTTCTGAAATAATCATGCACTTCCATATCCATAATCAATGCCTTTAGTTTTGTGTCTTTTATCTGATGTTATTCAACATGTACTTGGGATAGTCACAATCTATCTATTTTGAGTATTAGTTTTGTTTTAACTACAGAATGATACATAAAATAATAAAACATTGATTGCTTTATGGAATTGATTTCATGCACTTATGGATCTCTTCAGCACATTATGGACCTCAGATGGAATTTTGACTCTCAATAAATGTTTCAATAAGGTTTGGTTGATTGTTAAGCATCTTTCTGTGGTAGAATTTTGTAAAAACTCTGTATTGCGTGTTTTAGACACACCAGAACCCACGACGGGAAGACTGCATCATAAACATCCGGGACAATTTCAAAAATGGGTAAATATAGAGGAAAATCAGGAGGGTGGAATCACTGTTTCACATTTCAAATTTCTTTGAAACTAGAAATGTGTCCATAGGACACGGGTGCCCCCACACCCCACCGATTTGCCAATCTTGTGACTCTAGGTCAATTTTTTTTGACTACATATGCCCAAGATAAAAACTAAACATCTTTTATTAAGTACAGGGCAAATACTACAAATAATAAATAGATGTAAATATGGTGACTGATTTGGTACGCTTTTGTGCGTCTAGTTGGCGCTAGCGCCAAACGGCGCGTTGTTGTGCTGTCGTCTTGTCGTCCTGTCTCTAGCGCGGCACTAATATAAAAATATAATCCTTTCATGCATATTAGTTTCAGAACAGACACGTCCATCTCTGCCTATATGTATATTAACATCAAAATTGGCAAAGTTTGAACCCCCACAGTGACCTTGACCTAAGTTGTAGAAACTCGAGTTTTGATGATCGTTCAGCACGACATTATTGTTGTGCTTGTGGTAATTTAGTTCTTTCTATTCGGCTATTTCCTTGTTGGGTGGTTCCAGTATTTCTCACCTGAATACTGTTGAATCACCCTTATACGGAAGCGTCCTGGTGCCAATTTAACATTTTCTATAAAAAAAGAAAATAACTCCTACGTAGGACTTTATAAGTCTTAGGCTTTTTTTTAACTCCTACGTAGGAGATATAAAAACCTAATATTAGGAGTTTTAAAGTCCTACGTAGGACTTACAAACTCCTACGTAGGACTTTTTAACTCTTACGTAGGAGTTAAAAAAAGCCTAATTAGGAGTTTATAACTCCTACCTAGGACTTTATAAGTCCTACGTACGACTTTTATAACTCCTACGTAGGAGATAAAAAAACCTAATTAGGAGTTTATAACTCCTACCTAGGACTTTGTAAGTCCTACGTAGGACTTTATAACTCCTACGTAGGAGATAAAAAAACCTAATTAGGAGTTTTAAAGTCCTACGTAGGAGTTTAAAAGTCCTACGTAGGACTTTTTAAGTGTTCCTCTATGTAGGAGTTATACGGTAGCGTCCTGGTGCCAATTCATAATGTTCTATAAAAAATAAACTCCTACGTAGGAGATAGAACAAGAGGGCCATGATGGCCCTAGATCGCTCACCTGACTTATCAAACTCATCCCAACAATTACCTAGACAAGCATTCTGACCAAGTCTCATGACAGGTGAGTCAAAAATGTGACCACTACAGTTTTAACAAGAATTATCCATATTTGAGCAGTGCGACCTAGTTTTTTACCCAGGTGACACATATTCAAACTTGACCTAGAAATCATCAAAACAAACTTTCAGACCAATTTCCAGGATACTTGGATCAAAACAGTAGCAACTAGAATGTTAACAAGATTTTTCTATTTTAAGCTCCAGTGACCTAGTTTCACATGCAATTTCGAACTCATCCAAGCAATTACCTAGACAAGCATCCTGACCAAGTTTGATGATAATTGAGTCGAAAATGTGACCACTAGAATGTTAACAAGGTTTTTCCATATTTGGGCGGTGTGACCTAGTTTTTCATCCAAGATGACCCATGTTTGATCTTGACTTAGAAATCATCAAACCAAACTTTCAGACCAATTAACAGAATATTTGGATCACAACAGTAGCCACTAGAGTGTTAACAAGATTTTTCTTTTTTTAGCTCCTGTGACCTAGTTTTTCATCCATGATCACCCATGTTCGATTTATTCCCAGCAATGACCTAGACAAGTGTCCTGACCAATTTTGATGACAATTGAGTCAAAATTGTGACCACTAGCGAGTTAACAAGGTTTTTCTATTTTTAGCTCCTGTGACCTAGTTTTTCATCCGAGATGACCGATGTTCGAACTCATCCGAGCTATCACCTAGACGAGCATCTTGATCAAGTTTGATGATGATTGATGCAAAAATGTGACCGCTAGAGTGTTAACAAGGTTTTTCTATTTCTAGCTCCGGTGACCTACTTTTTCATCCGAGATGACCGATGTTCGAACTCATCCGAGCTATCACCTAGACAAACATCCTGACCAAGTTTGATGATGATTGAGGCAAAATTGTGACCTCTAGAGTGTTAACATGATTTTTCTATTTTTAGCTCTGGTGACCTAGTTTTTCATCCGAGATCACCCATGTTCGAACTCATCCGAGCTTTCACCTAGACAAGCATCTACGTAGGACTATTAAACCCCTACGTAGGACTTTTTAACTCCTACGTAGGACTTTATACTCCTACATAGGACTTTATAACTCGTACGTAGGAGATAAAAAATCCTAATTAGGAGTTTGTATCTCCTACGTTGGACTTTATGACTTTATAAGAAATGCATACAGAATGCTTTGCAAATACATTCCGGACCGGTATATCGGCGAAGGAGCAAGACACACTTATATAAGGACACACTTTCGAATCCGTTCCTGGAACCAACCAGTACGTACTTAGCGATGAGTGTAAAGTTTCTTGCTCAAGGAAACAACGACTTGCACCTAACGAGGTTTGAACCCATGCGGCTAGCGATCATTAGGCAACTAGTCACACGGCCATGCCGCCATACTTCACCTTTTAATAAAGTGTACAGTGTCTTAGGTTGAGGTGTCTGAAAGCATTGGCGATGTATCCCGAAAAATTGCTTTACAGCTATTCGAAAAAAAACAAGCATATATATCAAAATTTTAAAAGGCTTTTACGATTACGTTTTCCATACGAACTAGCTGACAAAACGATCAATTTAACCATTTTCGGCCGTTTCAAATGATTAAATCCTTATAGGGGGCAGGGGGAGTAGTGTCTTGTTTCTGCTCCGTAAAGGTTTGCGGAGCATTATGCATGCATATTTTTAATAATGAATTACATTGTATATCCTTAATGTCCTACTTTGAACAAAGTTTAACCCATACATTTTGTGTACATGTGTATAATAATTATAACTAAACGTACATAATACAGAATCATCGTTTAATATATGCAGAGAATGACAAAATCATCTCTGGCTATAGACTAAAGGTATTTGCCACAATTACAACTTGACACATATGAGCCGCGCCATGACAAAACCAACATAGTGGGTTTGCGACCAGCATGGATCAAGACCAGCCTGCGCGTCCGCGCAGTCTGATCAGGATCCATGCTATTCGCTATCAGTTTCTCTACTTGTAATAGGGTTTGTAAGCGAACAGCATGGATCCTGGTCATTATAAAGTCCTACGTAGGAGTTATAAACTCCTTATTAGGCTTTTTATGCCCCACAATTTTGGAGCATATAGCGTTGCACTTGTCCGTCCGTCCGTCAGTCCGTACGTCTGTCCGTCCGTGCGTCCCGAAATCTTGTGAACGCAACTCCTCTTAAACCGGATGGCAGATTTTGCTTAAACTTACAGGGATGAACAACCTTAATGTGTAGATGGTAGTGAAGGAAGGAATTTTCGCTGCGACCAAATTTAACAGAATTATGGCCCTTTGTTGATTTTTTCACTATATACTATGTAGAAATTTTGTGAATGCAACTCCTCTTAAACCGGATGGCAGATTTTGCTTAAACTTACAGGTATGAACAACCTGAATGTGTAGGTGGTAGTAAAGGAAGGAATTTTTGCTGTGACCAAATTTAACAGAATTATGGCCCTTTGTTGATTTTTTCACTATATACTATGTGGAAATTTTGTGAACGCAACTCCTCTTAAACCGGATTGTAGATTTTGCTTAAACTTCCAGGGATTAACAACCTTAATGTGTAGATGGTACTAAAGGAAGGAATTTTTGCTGCGACCAAATTTAACAGAATTATGGCCCTTTGTTGATTTTTAGTTTTCAACTTGTTGTAACTTGTGGCACATGTAGTCTAACAAATATTTGACCTAGAGTCATAAGATTGACAGAACAGTGGCGTGTGGGGGCATCCGTGTCCTATGGACACATTTCTAGTTTTTAACTCCTACGTAGGAGTTATAAAGTCCTACGTAGGAGTTTGTAAGACCTTTGTAGGAGTTACAAACTCCTAATTAGGCTTTTTTTTAATCTCCTACGTAGGAGTTATAAAGTCCTACGTAGGACTTATAAACTCCTACGTAGGACTTATAAACTCCTACGTAGGAGTTATAAAAACCTAATAAGGAGTTATAAAAACGTAGGACTTTATAAGTCCTACGTAGGAGTTACAAAATCCTAATTTGGCTTTTTAATCTCCTACGTAGGAGTTTATTTTTTTATAGAACATTATGAATTGGCACCAGGACGCTTCCTTACCCTTAGGATATGTAGCCTGGTTTTTAAACTTGTCTTTTGACGTCTTATCTGTGATATGCAGGCTTCATAACCTCTGATCCCCTTTCAAAATTCCATTTTATTTAGTTCCGCCTATTGTTTTCTCGTTTAGGGCACACGCATTTTTTTTTAATTTGGGGACCATATGCCGCTTTACATGGAATGGCACTTACGTGTCACATTGAAGGTTCCATGATAATCGCCATATGAACACATCTGCGGATGTTTCAAAATTCAAAATTGTACCAATTCATGTTAAATGTTGAATTCTGCTTAAGCCGGTGCTAGGGGGCGTGGACGGTAGTTTGCACTTGACAGTACCGTTTATGAACAGGCTCAATCAAACCGAGCCTGCAACATTTTCAATTTTGTCGTGTTGGGCTTTCTTTAGAGATTCTTATTTTCTCTATTTTGTTCGCGACACACCATACACCACCTTCTATATTTATATAACATAAAAAATGACAAAGTTTGAACCCCCACAGTGACCTTGACCTTAGTGGTAGAAACCTAAGTTTTGTTCGCGACACACCATACACCTATGGTTATTTCATCTATGAAAGAAAAATTAAAAGCCTTTCATGCATACTAAAGTTTCAGAGCGAACACGACCACCACCATCTATATCCACCATCTATATTTATATAACATAAAAATGACAAAGTTTGGACCCCCACAGTGGTGACCTTGACCTTAGTGGTAGAAACCCAAGTCTTCTTCGCGACACACCATACATCTATGGTTATTTCATATGTGAAAGAAAAATAACAATCCTTCCATGCATACTGAAGTTTCAGAGCGGAAACGACCACCACCTTCTATATTTATATAGCATAAAAAATAATAAAGTTTAAGCTCCCACAGTGACCTTGACCTTAGTCGTAGGAACCCGAGTCTTGTTCGCAACACACCATACATCTATGGTTATTTCATATATGAAAGAAAAATTAAAATCCTTTCATGCATACTGAAGTTTCAGAGCGGACACGACCACCACTGTCTATATGTATAAAGCGGGATGGACTGACTGACGGACGGACGGACGGAAGTTCTCACAGGATAGTAATTATGTGGCTACTCTATTGTTCTCTCTATTGTTCTTTTTAGCCACACAAAAGAAAATAGCCACATAAAAGCATTACGGAATGAATGACATCAAAGAGAAAGAACAGTTACCTATTGTCCCTCTAGCCACATAATTACTGTCCTGTGAGTGCGGACCGACTGACTGACGGACGGACTCGCAGACGGACGGTTCGATTTTAATATGCCACACTTCGGGGGCATAAAAAAGAATTGTGGCCCTTCATTGATTTTCTTTGATGTGTCAGCAAGTAGCGATATATACTGAACGTCTTTGAAATGGGATTTTGTATTTTTTATAAAGATTTAACTAAACTGAAAAAAAAAATGTTGGAACGAGTAATTAGGTGCTATTTATAGTATAACATACATGCGTTTCAAAGTTTTTGATTTTGTGTTTCGCTTTTTTACTTAGTGTCTGTGCAGTATTATATGCTCTAAATGATTCAGTGCTTCGTGTTGTTTTTGTAAAAAAAAATCCGTATAAGTTACAACAAGCTGATATGTTGTGACCTTTATTTCTAACCTGAACACTGTTTCCAAAGAATGAAGCTATATCTCTTCTGCATTGCAGCTTACAAGACTTTTATTAAAGAATAATTTCAAAATACCTGTATGAAAGTAATATGTTGGTAAATTTCATCTCGAGCGAATGGTGCATGTTGAACATGTGCAAAGAAGACCCTCTCAAGTTGTACAAAATCGAACTTGCATTGGAATTGGTCAAATGGCTTTTGAACTGTAGGCTCGTAAAATTGATGTTTTTTTCAGAAATTTATACAGATAAAGAACAAATCGAGGGTGCAAAAAATTTACTATTTACATTTATCGGTTATAATTGTATTTGCCAACACGATTTTAAGTTAAATTGTATTTTTATTTGTTTTCAGTTGTTATAAACTTGCCATCATGCGGCAGTTAAAGAGAAAGCAATCTTTTGTTGTTCCGTTCTCGCAAGCGGGCAATACAAATTCACAGAAGATAGATATCCAGTCCTTGTGGCCAAGGCAGAACGAGAAAAAAGCATTTTCTCCATTGCACATTGGTCAACACGTGCAGACTATAACACCAAATACCAGAAAGAAAATAAAACAAAGGTAAAATACAAAGATTTTTTTAAATATGAGGGGCATTTGTAAAGTAAATTAATCAGTCTAAATTTTTTACCATTATTCAGGGCTATAAGGTTAGGTGTTAATGTGTTATACATGTAAAGAAAGGAAGATTCTCCACTACATGTATATTATATATGCAAAAGGACCTTTGGGAAAAGTAAATGTAATTTCATTTGAACCTACTAAGGTATGTACGCTTGGATACAAAATGACAGACAACGAGAACAGTTTTCAAGAAGAGCAAAGAACGTATGGTAAAGTTTGCGAATTCCTGTGCCTGATATTATTAAGTCAGATTTAGATAAAGTTTATGGAGATAGTATCATACTATATGCCACATTTAGGAGAGCGGTATGGTTATTTGACTGCTGTAGAATGTCGAAGATGAGCCCCGATCTGGCCGTCCCGCTAAAGCAACACTCGCGAATGATGTTTTTCATATTCTGACAAAGGTACGCAAGGTTTTTGGCCGGTAGATAATCCACCTCCTCACTGCATGATAGCTGGCGATGAAACATTAGCTTCTTTTTATGAGCTATAGGGTTAGGGAAACAAACAAGGCGTGGAGCGGCAACAATGATGATGCTGATGCTTCGAGGTTCACCTTAATTAAAGAAGCAAGAACTGGCCATGTGTTCTCTAGGAAAAGATCGGGAGCAGGATTAAATGATCATGATTTTATTTCATAAAACTAACGCTGATTGTATTTTGTTAGAATCAAATGGTACATAAACAAAATGTTCGCCCCATTAAAGCAAAAATGTACCAAGCGACACTTTGGCCAAAAATGACTTTTTAACATTTTTCATTATGTTTTAATGTTATCTTTAATCTGTAGAAATATCAAGATTCAAGATTCAAATAACTTTATTTGTGTTCAAAGGCCTCAGGCCCAAAATACATAGCATACATACAACAATATAGTAATATGGTTGCGTCACCTTAACAATGTTTATTAATGCGAAAAAAGACTAGTTGTTTATGTTATCCATTAAAACATATACATAAAACATAAGCTTCCTTAAAGTGATTATATCACGTGTACCTATTAATACATAAAAATCATGTAGTTCTTTTCCGCCAAAATACCAATTGAATAAATACTTATCACGGATTTGTTTATATTTTTTACATATAAAGAAAGCTGTAGTATCATGTTTACTTATCGACATATAAGGTCATGTAAAAAGGTACAATGTAAATATTATTCCATTTAGTAATGCAAAAAGGTACCATATGCTTACCAGTTTGAGCAAAAAGGTACCAAGCGTCACATAGTACCTATTTGCATTGAATGACTTGAGCACTTATTTAATTGCAAAAAGAAACCAGGTGTCACATGGTCCCTTTCTGCACACAAAGAATTTACACCCCTAAAGATTTTTTTCATATAAGAAATTGTTTGCTTGGTACATTTTAGCTTTTTAATGAATACACAGTTAGATGTTAATAAGGACATCAAATATAACAATGTATCCCAGAGTATTGTTTCTGTTTTAAATTGAGGAATGATAACAGAGTGAAGATAATGATAGTGTATAACTTACTTCTTTACAAAAACATTGGACGTAAAATGAAAAGCAATTGACTATACTCTTGCCATTAAGAAACATGTGGTATATGGAAGGAGAAACATGACAGGGAAACGTACATCTACAAATAAACTAGATTATGATACAGTTAAATTGGTGAAACAGCATAAAGAGTAATTACCTAAAATGGAATCTCATAATACAAGAAAAAAACTGAAAGAAACAATTCCTATCCCATGACTTAAACATTAACAGATGTGGAAACTATAAACTATTGAATGTGAAAAGAAAGAAGGAAATAAATGTTAAGCAACATACTAATAGGAAGATCTTTTGTGAAAATTACAATCTATCATTTTACAAATCCAAGAAAGACTAATGTTCATTATGTACACTGCACAATAGAAGAAGGCAGTAGGCACACTAGATGGAACAGTTAAGAAAAAATTATTGAATATCAAAAACAGAAGGAAAATGCACAAGAAGAAAAGGCTAAAGATAAAACTGGAGCAAAAACGTGACACATGCGTATATGTTGCATGTTTTGATCTCAAGGCCGTCGTAACAACACCTTGGTCATAAGTGGGTGAGCTTTACTATTCAAAAAAAACTCTGTTGCTACTCTACACAACTTTACATTATATTCCTTAGGATGTATGTCATATATGGATAAAACCAACTGCAATGAGGGACACATGGAATAGCTTCCTGCTTAATAAAAACCCTTTTCTATTTGCCAGAGTGGTAATGTCAAATAAGTTATATATTTTACATATTCATGCAGGGGACAAAACGGAAATTGATTCCTAGCTGCGTCTCTTCTTTTATATTATCACAAGTTCCAAATTTAACATATTTCTTGTATTGGGTCACTCACAGATGGAGTGATTATTTGTCTATTGAAGGGGCAAAGAAAATAACGCCTGTATAATTATGTATTATTCAGTTGTGTTCTCTTATATCACTGGCCAGAAAGTCACAGCCATACATTGCTGTGCCAATGAAATATAACCATGTTATTGATTTCAAAGACTTCATGAAAAAACAGTGTCGAGTCTCAAAACATCAATTAAAGGACTAAGAGTAAACTGGCTACTGGTGAAATCATTACAGGTACCAAAGGAAACCCCAGTCAGTATTTGTAAATTACAGCTTCAATGCTGAAGATTTTATGGATAGAAGTTCAGAATACAGAATCTAGACAGAAAGGAAGTATGTATCAGTGGCCAAAAAGTGAACAAGATATGAAGTTATGATACCAAACCGCCAGTTATAATTCAAAAGAAAAATGACTTGGTTACTTTGTGTGCAAAGGAAATTATCCAAAAATAATTCCATAATTATTATGCCACTTAACCAACAAACAAGACAGAAAATGGGTAAGTCACGATGGAATCACATGAGAATGATTCTGATTTTGAATAACAATATGTAAGACATTTTGAAGACTTTCAAAACATGCAGTGTGTTATTTACTGAAGAAAACACATTAATTTCATATTATTATTTGCATCATTTTATAATAAAACTGTAACCAAATGATGCTTTTTGTTAATATTGTTGGGACAAAAAGGTTCCAACTGCCATATGTTTCCTTATTGTGATATATTTTACAGCAAATATTTAAAATAATACTATGCAAAAAGGGGCCAAGCCTTCTTGCATTTGTCGGTCAAAATATTTATAAGTGCAAAAAGGAACCATTTCTTTTAATTGATTAATCATCACTAATTAGTAACATATAAGCTTTCAAACTTTTTGAGCATGTACATTGAAATATTATCTAAATATATATGAAGTTGCTCTGCTAGGTTGTAAAAACCTGATTTGATATGGAACTTCCAATCTTTAAACACAATTTTCTCGAAAACATGAAAATGTCACTTGGTACATTTTTGCTTTAATGGGCGTGTTGAAAGAATTGATGCAAAGAAACAGCCCATTTTTGTGACAAAAACAAAACAAATACAAAAATAATCAGATTGAAATAAGGATCATTTTTCAAAGATCAAACACATGTTTGACATTTCTAAACATTCTGAGCATAATTTGCCTTTAACAGTTCATCATTAGATAGGAGTATCATTGGCTGAATTTCTATTACTATTGCACTGTGTTGGTACAGACACCAAATCTGTGGTATCTGATGTGGAACCAGATTGCTGTCAAAAGCCGCTTTAGTCAGTTCTAGCATAAAAAAGTCACAATTTCAGTATAAAGCAGTAAAACAAGTTATTATTCCATACTGATATAATTCCTAAATATTCTAATACAACAAATGTAGTTATAGAGTTAGATTACTGCAATTCATTATGGTTCTTGCATTTTCTCAATGAAAATAATTTTAGGTGAATTTTAATGTCTTTCTTTTTGATTTTCTTAAAAACCATCAATTGCAATTTCTTTAAACTTTGGAGTGTAAAAGTTAAATCACTCGAAGATGTATTTTATATTAAAATGGAGTGTGAAGTTATCGCCTTCCAAAACGTTAAATTCGATTTTCCTGAAATGGTTAAAATACGACTAACATCAATATGAAATAAGAACGACGAGGGGTAAAGTTAGATTTTAACAAGGATGTTAAAAACTGAACAGAAACAGATGAGCCTATCTTATTACACTTGTACAGAACAATCCCCTTTTCTATTTACTTTACTGGATGGTTTATGTACAAAAATCGGTAGATACTAAGCTAAACACTTTTACACAAAGCAAACTGACGACTTACAGAAAGAAAAATAATCTGTTTTGAAAATAAAGGTTTTTTCACAAAGCAACCTCAGTTTTAATACAAAGTCTATAGGATAAACGAATCCAAAATAGATTATACCCAGACCATTAAATACTCATATACTTCAGACTTTATCAACACTTCTATAATGACATGCTTGTCAGTTTCCACACCTTTCTTAAATCATTACATCGCACTTCACTTGTTCTGTGACAAGTTTTAATTCATTTCCCTCACGTTTTCTTTGACATAAAATGACCAAGAATGGATTCATTTTTAAAGAATATACTTTTATTTTCTATTTTTAGATTTGCAATGAGTTTCTCACGCGTACCAGTACGAAACACATCCCCTGGGTTTGATGTGCCATTTGACTTAAGTCAGTCAAGCTGTTTTTCACAGCAGATAGATGTCCAAGAATTCAAGGGTAACGAAGAAGTCGAAGACTGTCGAGAAGAAGGCACAGTTAGAGATGTGTGCAAGTCTACTGACCAAATAGCTCAAGATGATGGGGAAGAATTCGATCTAGAATTAACAGAAGAAGTCACTAATATAGAGAGCGTGGTCGGAAAAAACAGAACTGATACTGAAGACTTGCAAGAAGGATTTGTTGACAAAGAATCGCCGATAAATGTAGATACTGATAATTTAACGAAAGAACACCGTGATATAAATATCAAATGGAAACGACAAAATAAAAAGAATAAGGCACCAGATACAACAGGATCTGATGGTTTGTCTACGGGAACAGTTACAGTAGCTTGTCCAGCAACAGAAAATGATAGCGATAAGATTAAAACTGTTGAAAATAAGAAGGAAGAGAGATGTAAGAAGAGACTTAATCCAAACTTTATTCTTCAAACCAACATATTTAGCAAACGTGTTAAATCTAAAAATGTTTCAAAAGTAAGAATTATTGGAAAGTCTGTTGGTTGGCCGAATAGTAGTTTCGGAGCACAAGCAGATGGCAAGAAAAAAAGAAAAACAATGGTGGTTAAAGAAACTACTCGTGAAAGCCATGAATGGAGTATTGAGATGGGAATGAGTGACTTCTGCCCATTAACGTCATTAAACAAATCCAAGTATCAGTGCGACGTCAAAGATTCAACCAGGAAGAGAAAAGTCAAACAGACCACAAAATTGGTAAGTTATGTTATAAGATGATGATATTTATGATTTTGCGGAAATTTTGTGACGACTTGAACGCTCTTTATAGGCATTTGCATGTTTAAATACATAAATACAATACGGGTAGGGACACTGGTGAGGTATGCTCAACGGTATATACACTCGGAGGCACTTGTAACCCGACACTTACATTTTTTCGGTATAATTGAACGGATTTTGTTCAACTTTTGAACCTACAAAATTTAACGTACAGTGTATCAGACTTATTTCTTAGAATTTTATTTACAATTCATTGACAAGAAAATAGAGAAAATAGCAAACTGCAAAATGAAAAATCACAGAATGGCTGTAAATATCGTAACGAAATGAAAAGTCTCTGAATCCCACTAAATTTGTACGTTAACCAGTTCTAATACTTTGTGTGCCCTCCCATGACTTTAACAAAGTGTAAACACCTGTCTCATGGTTATGATGTAGTTTCTCATGAAGACTTATGGAAAGCCATGGCTGTCTAATATAGTCCTTTTTCAATTTATGTAACCATTTAGATAATAAAAATTATATAAGTTCACTTCGACTATATGAATTGAAAACACCTTCTTATTTAACCGGAATCCATTATATTAATCCACAGTTACAAAATATGAAATCATACCGTCAGTGTATGAAACCGAGGTAGCAATATATAAGTTGATTTTGTCAATATATGATTCCACTTCTTCAATATATGGTACCAAAGTAGCCATGTATGGAATCAGATATCCTTATATGAAACCGAATTATCAACGTATAATTTATAACCAATATATTATATATAGCTACCTTGGTTTCATACACTAGCGGCCTGGTTTCATATATTGTACTTTGGATTTATATAATGGTTTCCGGTTTAATAAGAAGGTATTTTCAATACATATATTGTCGAAGTGAACTTATATATTATCCACATGGTTAAATTAATTGAAAAAGAACAATATAAGACAGCCATGGCTTTCCATAAAGACTTGGTGAATGTTTCTCCACTTCCTCGAGTTCCAGCAACTCCTATATCCAAAGTCACCAGATTTAAACATCACACTTGTCGGCTGAATTAAACAGGCGTGTGAAAAAGCGACCAGAAGCCCCTCGTAATTTGCTGGAACTTAAAAGCGAGCCCTTGGTCAAGAATAGAGAAAAGTGAGGCAGAGGTGTTTACGTTGTTATAGCCAATTGGGAGGACATACAAAGTTTTAGAACTGATTAACATACAGATTTAGTGGGATTCAGAGACTGTTCATTTTGTTACGATTTTAACAGTCAAGAAAATTGAAAAATAGCAAAACAAATAGGCTACTGAAAAATGAAAAATCACCGAATGACTGTTAAAATCGTAACAAAATGAACAGTCTCTGAATCCCACTAAATATGTATGTTAATCAGTTCTAAAACTTTGTATGTTCTCCCAATTGGCTATAACAACGTAAACACCTCTGCCACACTTTGTGATTTTTCATTTTTCAGTAGCCTATTTGTTTTGCTATTTTTCAATTTTCTTATCAATGACTTGTAAATATAATTCTAAGTAGTAAGTATGACATGTTGAATTTTGTAAAGTCCAAATTTGTACAAAATCCGTTCACAAATAACCTATTTATACAGAAAAATGTAAGTGTCGGGTTTAAAGTGCCTCTGAGTGTATTCGTAATATTAATAAATTATACTTTACACAAACCAAGCTAGTTGTCGACCTTGTAGAATCGCAACTTTCAATATAATTTGATGGTTTTTACATTAGTTGAAAGTTAAAACATGTTATTAACATTTTAATCATATACACGTACATGTATCTGCATTACATATAGGTTAACATGTTTGAATAGGTTTAGAACGAAAGGCAAGTCTTACGTTTTGAAACGATTTTGAAACAAAACCTGGTGTTGTTTTATTTTCGGACACGACTTTAATAATTAAGAAGTTATTGTAAAAACGTACGATTTCTTTTGCGTACTATTAGAATTATTTACAGAAATGGAGAATAATAATTACGTGTTTGAACGGAAATTGACGAATGTCATTACAGATACATAAATTTTAAACTTTTGATTGAATTTTTAGATGGAGCAAGAAGTTTTGAAGACATTATTAAAAATGCATGACGAAATACAAGAATTATTGGAGCGTAGAAAACTGCTGTGTTTAAATAAAGGTATTAAAATTACTGTTGAAATATGATATCTTTGACAGTGAATGACAAAGTGCATATAATGTCTCACAATAAGAACAAAGTCAAGGAAAAGAAAACAATTAACAACAAAATATAGTTATGAATACATATAATGTACAAATGCTAGTTAACATGTATATTAGTTATATTTACCCAATATGGCACATTATTCAACCTACAATTTCGTTGTTAAAAACGAAATATGTATCATATTTCAAGAACATTATATAATTGATAATTCACAAGGACATGAAATATACATATAATATGAAATTCAATAATGTTGTGTAGGTCAGAAGTTTTACGCACTTCACTTCTTGCCCATGTTTCTAAAAGTAACTTTATTTAATTTGAATTTGGTTCGTCTATGTTGGTGGTTTTTTTGTACAAGTATAGTCTGTTAACAATGATATGGGGAATAGCAGTATAGTAGTTTACCCATAGTGAACATTTTAGAAGTGTCTTAATCTTACTTAAATCTATATCATCAGCCTTATTTTAATCTAGATCAATTTATTACGAAGCCGTATTTTAGTCTAGATCAGTCAACATGCAAACACTATAAAATCTTAGTCTAACTCATTTGCACCCTTACTTTAGTCTAAAACAGTAGCAGCTAATTTCTAGTCTAAAACAATTAACCAGTCTTATTTTGTCTAAATCAATATTGTAAATCGGCTAAAACATTTGGTTGGTCTAAATCAGTTAGGAAGTCATATTTAAGTATCAGACAGTGAACAAGTCTATGTTAGTCTAGATCAATTACATATAGATAAATTAAAAAAGTCTTATTTCAGTCTAAATGAATTATTTACCTTTGGATATTTTATTAAGTTAATATGAATCAGTTAACAAGTCGCCATATCGATGTGAAGAATTCAATGAAACAACGAGTTAGGGTACTAACAATCACAGTTTATGTTGGTAGGTTTCTATTATCTACATGATTTATTATAGAAGAATATTGTTTAGAACAGCTGAAAAGTCAAGAATGATTATGTGCATGTACTTTAAAATGTCGTTTTTGTTAATTAAATATCGAGCTGGTCAATGTACGGCACCAGAAATCAACTCAATTAAAAGGGAAAAACTCCATGAATGTATGTATGTAGGGATGGATGGATGCATGGATGGATGGATTCATGCATCTATGTAATTTGTACATTAAAGGGTATGTTTTATCTATATTGGACTGTCTGCTTACGGTTTGCTTCTTTATAGTATTCATGCAAAAATACATAATTCGCTAAAACATACTTAAAAATAGCAGTTGAATAATTTTGTTGGGGAACTTTTTATTGAGTTGTATTAAGCTTGCATTAGGTAGAAAGTTACCCCCGAATATGACATAACTTGAATGTACACAAGATCTATAGCTCGTGAACTATACACCTTTTAATTGAGACTTTCCTTTAACATATTAGCATTTGAAAGCAAAATAACACCTGAATCACGTTTGCGTCTCCTTTATACCTCGACTTTTTTTGAAAAATAAAAAGTAGAGGTATTGCTATAGTCGCGGCTGCGTTGCCGTTGCCGTCCGCAAACTTCTCCCTGGATCATTACTTTTTTATTTCTTGGTGTATTGTCTTCATACTTGGCCACAACAACCTTTCAGTAGACCACACTAACCTTGACCTTCATCCATAAATGACCTGACCATCAAGGTTAAAAGTCCAAATTTTGCTTGTTCATGCTGTTATTGGCTGTTACTTTGTTATTTTTGAATGGATTGTCTTCAAACTTTAACATAATAATCTTCAAGGATATCCCTTAAAAATAACTCGACAGACCTTGACCTTCACTCATAAATGACCTTGACTTTGAAGGTCAAATTATTGAAATTTTCATGTTTTTGGTTATTATTGGCTGTAACTTTGTTATTTTTGAATGGATTGTCGTCAAACTTGAACATATTAATCTTCAAGGAATACCCTTAAAAAGAACCCGACAGACCTTGACCTTCACTCATAAATGACCTTGACTTTGAAGTTCAAATTTTTGAAATTTTTATTGTTTTGGCTGTAACTGGCTGTAACTAAGGATCACCTTCATATTATAACAGAACATACTTAAGGACAAGACCTTGTTGTTTATCGTGACTTCACCACGTGACACCACCACGTGACTCCACCACGTGTCTCCACCACGTGACTCCACCACGTGTCTCCACAACGTGACTCCACCACGTGACTCCACCACGTGACACCACCACTTGACTCCACCACATGACTCCACCACATGTATCTATTTATAGAATTTTCTATTTATAGAATTGTGTGTTTCTATTTATAGAATTTTCTATTTAAAAAATTGTGATAGAATTGCGTGTCTCTTATATATATAGAAAAATTAAAAATAACCCGACAGACAGGTTTGTTATTAAAAATTATATATATTAGTATATTTATATATACAAAATATATAGAACTATATAAATATATAAATGAAACTAATGTGACAAGACAGACCGATTAATTTTATAAAAAGGAAACGTTAAGATTTTGTTCAAACATTTCTTTGTTTGCTTTTAGAGAAAGTAAAAAGTCGAGCGTTGCCCCCGCCTGGCGGTGGCTCTTGTTGTATTCAAGTTAACCTTCTTTCTTACCTTGTATTGCGTTCCGCGTATCAAAAATCTCTGATAAAGAAGTTATTTTTTGAATAAAATCAAATTAAATTAGGTGGAGTGAGTTGAAATTATAAATCAAAACGATTAGTCATACTTGTCTAACATATAAATAAATTTCATAATTACGTTTTCTAATCCGTCTTACGCAATTTGTATGTATGGGAGTGTTTATATATAAGCTCACGTATAACTACGTCATATATAGATGAAACAGATGTTCAACCTGTTACTTTATTTACGAGAGAAGTTAAAAATGGTCAATGAAAACATTGTAGTAGATGAAATGTTGTTTATATTTACATTGCCGTCACATGACTACATTACCGGATAATACATGTCCGGCATTGATCTAGAATGGAACGGGTTACGACATATACCCTCAAATAGACAATATTGACCTTAAATGAGCAAGTGCGACCTTGACCCTGGAGGTAGGGGTCTTGTTGTTGCGCATGACACATCGTCTTATTATAACAAACATTTGTGCCAAGTTATTTCAAATTCCTTTGATAAATGACAAAGTTATAAACCGGACAAGAATGTGTGACGGGCGGACAGACGGCCGAACAGACGGACGGAGCCAATTTCTATATCCCCCTTTTTTCTTCGAAAAGGCGGGGGACAATAAAGTGATGTCGTTTATCCAGTGTGATTTGGTGAATTTAGATTTATATGAAAACACATTCATACCGAATTTAGTAGCACGTACGGACTGTTCTCCTTCCATGTAAACAACATTAGAATCTCTACGTGATGAAACGTTGCATATTCTCAATAACATGATATGATTCAAGTTGATGTGCGTACATATAACGTTCACTTTATTTTACAGAACAATCTGCGAGTATGACGTCTGGACTGAATATGCGCGAGAAGCAGGCTGGAATTGTAAGTTTACATTATTTAGAGTGTCATTGTCGATTTTTACCATGTTTTCAAATTAACATGTTGTATCATTTAATCTGTTGCTACACACATGATATTGTAAAACTATATTTAACTTAATGGTTTATATAAACTTATACAATCGAATATTCCCTCACGTTTACTAAACTGCTTTTTCACGTGGTTTAAAGGAAAAATAAGTAATATTAATTTTGACAAGCGCACATATAAACTGTCAACAATCTACCGGTATTAAATATGTATGATATTTAACAATAGAATTATATTTGAAATTAGATATTGATTAAAAAAATATAGCAGCCATGTACATCAAAGCTTTAATTGCTGCCATGTGTATGTAATCAATATCGACGTCACGCCGAAACAATAAAAATCGACGTTACAAACGTACAGTATTGATCGAAAGTGTGTTGCTGTGTACGTATGTTTGATGCTTTTAACGCAGGATGAAAAAAAGTCATAAAACTTCTTGCATTTTTTATTTTATTTCAGAATTTTGTCCAAGAAGAGTAAAAGCCTTTGTGTCTACAATGAGGAATTCTAGATTCTATCATCTTTTCCATGTTAGATTTGTTTTTAGCTCACCTAAGTCCTATCCTTTTTAACTATTGGGTCGAATGGATGAAACTATACTGTACGGATGGTCATTTATAAAATTGCTCAAATGGTTTCGGTGCCCTGATCAAGTTTGGCGCCATAGCTTAAATTAATTTTTTTTTAAATTTACTATTTAAAAGTTTGGTTCAGTTAAACCCCAGTCACACTAGAGCTTACGATTACTTGCGACCACCGGCGACTTGTAAAACTGACGATCATCAGCGATTGTCTGCGACCAAAACCATTTTTGCACAAATAAATTTACTTTTGCTAGTATCGTAAGACAAGTCATCATTGACAATCGCACGACAGGTCATAAGTAAGCGTACGATGGTCTCAAGATTGCCTGGGATTACTAACGACTACCCGTGACATAACATGCGATCACCTGCAACTTGTCGTACGACCATCACACGATTACTAAAGACTACTTAAGATTATCAGTGACTAGTGGCAATTTGTAAAGACTGTCGTAAGATTGTCGCACTTCCGAACGACCATCGTGCGACAGCCTTAAGACCTTATAAGATCACTAGCGACCTGTTTGATCGCAAGGAGGTTTTTGTGCAAGCTCAAAAACTTCTCTACGACTGAAATTGGTCGTGGAACCTAAATAAGATAACCTGCGACTGTCAAAGATCACCGATGACCGTCGTAAGACGTTTTAAAGATTGTCCGCGACCAGAGGTCACTGGTGATCGTGAACTGGTCTTCACTGGTCGTAAGCTCTAATGTGACTGGGGCTTTAAATATACTATATGTAGAGTCCGTCACGTTTTGATTATATGAAAGGTATCAATTCTTTCAATACACCAACCCCTGCACATTGAAATATCTAATATTGATGTTTATCTTCTCATGGCCCTATTGTATAGCTTAAAGCTACATTAAATAAATATGTAAAATTATTTTGCCGTCGGCCTAAAAATCAAACATTCTACAGTTTCATTAACCTGTTTAACAGTATTGTTGTAAATCTCACCAAATATTGTTCATAAATTAGGATTTTAAACGGAAAAACCCACGGTAACACTAAAGTTCGTATACGAATTTTAACATGCAAATGAAGACTATAATCAGCTCGTGTATGCGCTACGTTGCTATCCGGAACAAAGCAAATATTATATTTTCTTGTGAAAACACACTTTAACCGTTTTAGCTTCACGGTTGACTAAGCCTTGGGTTCAGTGAAAGTAATCATCTCGTAAAAAGATTAAATTTGTATGAAAAAAATCGTTACAATGCGGAAATATACCGTTAAATTAGGACTGCCACTTATAGTCATGTTTGTTGATTTAATATTGATGTACGGATGATCCGAAGGCGGAGTTTCTCATGCAAACAGAAATTGTACTTCCCATTTCGGCACAATGAGGTTACCCCTTTGTATGCTAATAAAACTAATTTTGGTTGTCTGGACACCAAAATAAGACATGGAGTCGATATAAAACCCAATTTAGTAATGGAATGTCGCCATTTAGTTTTTTATGAAATTTATGTAATGTAGCTTTAAAGTATTGACTGATATATATATATATATATAGTGTTTTTGTTAAAGGTCAATAAACTTTCTTTCTAGCGGGCGAAAAATAGCCGACCTGTGCCATATACGTATTATAGGCTATACCTCTGTGAAATCTAACCCAGACAAATTACAAAATTAGCAGTCATATTGTAATCAACTGATCCCGATATAGGACAGTTGTTATACGTGTCGTCATACTTTGACAACCTCGGTATGGGGTATTTTGTATACATTTTGTACCACATATCTGTGTAAATATTTATTTAAAACGTATAAATTTCATGATGTATAACGAGGCGTGAACCAGCAATCAATGGAATATTCTAGTAGTAAAGATAGGTATTTAAACAGTGTTGTATTTTGCATATTTACATTTTTGTGTTGTTTGTTCAAATATTTTGTTGCAGCGAATTGTTTTATACTGTATATAAAAAATAAAAATAATAAAATATATTCACGCAATGACAGAAGTTCTATTTTTGTAGTTTTTAGTTTTTTCAAGGGCGACAATCATAGCTTATGTTATCAATTTAATGCCAGCAGAGTTGTTTGTATAGAAATGAGAGCGGTGCGGACGAATATCAATCGACACATCCGTGCCATGTGATCGTTGTCTGCCCCCAGTTCGATATCTTGTCAGTACACATTTCACATGTACAAGTCCATGAAAGATATTTAGCGTGGTATAAAGGTTAAAACAATCATGTACTTGTTGGTGGTTTTATTTTGTGAAAGTCATTCTTTTTCTGTACCAATCAAAGGATTCATTATATTGTAAATGTTTAAAATTGGTTTTCATAGCCGCATTTTAGAAATTTCTCTGCATTTGTTTCCAAACAAAACTCTTATATTGATATTGCAAAATTTGCAACAATATTAAAAATGATTTGATAAAAATGATATTTTAAGACTGAATAGTCAGAAATAAATAAATTAGAGATATCATATGGGTTTTTTTTTGTCGTTGTTGTTTGTTGTTGTTTGTTTACATTTTACATATTCTCCTTTTTTGGACTGGTCGAGACCCGCAATGCCGAAAATGACGTTGCTGACGTATTCATTTAAATTTATTGTACAAATAATTATATTGTGCAGCAGAACCCACTCAGTCAAAAAGAAATTCGAGATGAAGAAACTGTCGTTATATTACTATTATCTCAAAATAAAATATACTTACTAGCATCAACACAGAAAAAAAAGACTTCGGTGATGACTAGTCAATCATGACGGATCGTCCTGTATAAATGAAAACGAATTTTTATAATTCAAAGAGAGAAAAATATTTCAAAGAACAACGCTACTTGTTTCCTTTAATTACATTTTTTCATAAAAAAAGAAGTCTACTATTTCTAACAAGTGCAAGATATTTTCTTTCTTTTTCCCATGTCCCTCTATCTCTACAATGAAACAACTACCAGACCTTTGAAAGAATCTTCACCAGTCTCGATCTACTTCCGCAGTTTCTGGCCATAGGCACTGGATATAGACAATGAAATATAAGTCATTAGTATTATAACTTTTATTTTTCTTCGATGTGTCTCATTAAAAATATTTTTGGTTAAAACCATCAGCAATAAATGGTGTATTTTTTAGATTTTTTTTTCATTTACAAGGTAGAGCACATCGTTTTAATTTTGATTTAAATGTTACTTAAGCACTACATTTCAATTTCACACTAAATTCCATTTTCAACTTGTTTGCTTCTTAAGATTGTATGTATTGCATGTAAACAAAGTAAGTATCCGCTGATTCATTATATGTATAATGTGTACTACCTTATCGCTTGTCCGAAAGTCAGCACAGGTGATGTAGTGGTGATTGGGTAAAATCTATTTTTAGAAAAGTGTTTGGCGTCCACGCCGAAGCGCGACACCCCTTATGGGATGAAAGGGCAATTGCAACTTCTCGGGCCCTTTAGTCGGTCATAATAGCCGATCATTCCGATTGGTATGAGGGTGTTTGATTATCTCGCGATATGCACACCGAATAGCGACTGGAGAATTTCGCAATGCAAAAATATACACATGAAATAATCTTTTCCGTCAATTAATCGCGCTCTTCGGGGTTTTTTTATTAATCATTTTGAAGTACACAGTGGGTTATTATGGTATGTTATTGTTGTACATGTATCCAAAGCTGTAAATAGAATGATAACCTTCACATTGTGAAAGTCCGAAAATCTATTTATAGAAGGATGTACTAAAAGCCAGTATCCTTTCGGTAATTCCCGGTCTCACCCGGTCTTTTTTGACCGGGAGTACTAAAGACCGGCAAATAGTATCACACGTTTATTGTCCGGTCTCTCCCGGTTTTGGAGTAGATGTTTGATATCGTTACAGATAAAGAAGTTTTTTTCCAAAATGAATGGTTGTCACTTAGTTTGGTTACAATAATTAATAAACAGAAGAAGAAGAATGATTTTATTTTCAACTTGTACACAACATATGGTACATCGTTGTACAATATACATTTACAAAATACATGGCATATGGTCACTATGATTGACAATGTTAACAGCAATCAATAATGTTTAAGTAAAGCTTATATCTATTGAAGACTAAATAAGTATGTGTATGTTCTTAATACATTATAGTATACCTTAGAAAATATGTACTTTCATATTCATTTTAGAAAAAGAAAAATCAAATTTGAAAATAAACTTAAGTAAAGTGAACAAATACTTTCTATCAATTGAACAATCATACATGTTAGAATAAAATTAACACCTGTTCTAGAAGTAAGTTTTGTTGTTGTTGTTTTTTTAAAGTGGTTACATCAAATATTATTTTTAGCAGTAAAGAAAAACAATTTATAAAAAGTACTATTGGAGAACGAACGGAATATCATATAGTCGTTGATAATGTGGACATTTCCTCAGCATCTGTTTCAATCAATAGTTATACATGTTTAAGTAAAGTAGACATTATGCATGTGTATGCCATAAAAATATTACTTTTGGTGTTTATTGAGAAAAAGGCAACAATCTATAGGAAAGTACTATTGTAGCATCGACCACATATATATGTTTAATACGTTGATGTCGGTTAAAGCCGTGACAAAAAATAAAAGCACAACGATTTATAGTTGATACTGCTTATAACTTTGGAAACGTATATATTCAAACTTTAAAATTAAACTGCATTATTACTGTATTGTATAAAGCAGCTCTGTGCGAATACGACTCGCTTGGTAAATATATTTCGCCAGGTTTCTGATGATAACTTTATTTTAAGCAGATACTAATTGTACGAATTTGTGCATATTTGGGCGCCTGTAAAAATATTGTTTAATATATTGATGACGCAAGGTTTCATAGGCTTTGCAAATTATAGTGAAGTGGTATTCATCCTCAATTTCTTGAGAATCACAAAGCTGACACACTCGCTCGGACCGTTCTATGCGATTTCGACCGTGCCTACCAGTTTCAATGCGCAGCCTGTGTGCCGATACGCGTATTCTTGTCAAAGACTGACGTAAATACTTAGAGTTTATTACATTCAGATAGTCACTCGTGACGAACTCATCTTTAAGGTATACATATAAAGTGTTCAGAATATTATTTGCTTGCAAATCAGCTCGCCAGCTCTGTACGTAACAGTCAAATAGCCGTTGTCTAAATAAAGGTAGGAAGAGTTTGGCATCTACGTTATCTTGATTTTCCCAAACGTCAGAAAATCCATACTGATTGAGTAATATCTTGACTCTGCCGGCCCAACTTACTGTATTACTATTTAGGCATCTTTTCAACGATTCGTCATATACGCGTTTAATTATAATATTATCCGTCGTTAGAATTTGTACCCAATACTTAATAATCTGATAATATCTTGTAATATGCAGCGGATACCGCGCTAGTTCCCCATAAACGGCTGCATTACTAGTACTTTGTTTGACTCCCAAGATTGACTTGCAAAACCTCAAGTGCACGCGTTCTATTTCCTTTGTTTTCGAGAAACCCCAAATCGGACAGGCATAGTTTAAGATCGGACCGACAAATGCGTCAAAAAGTTTCATAGATAACGATGGGTTTAATTCATATTTATCGATATTGTTTAAAAGTATGTTTGAAGCTTTAAGCGCCTTTCCAATAACGTACTGATTATGCAAAACGAATGAACCGGTATAATTAAACACGGCCCCAAGTAATTAAAATCATTTACTACTTCAAGAGGTTGGTTGTTATAATACCAGCGCTCTTCTTGCTTAACAGGACCCCTTTTACGGAACACTACGACTTTGGTTTTTGTATTTTCTGATCGTAAGATCAGTAAATACATAGCTAACATCCACAGTCTAACACAAAATTTCCTCACAGTCCTAACAACGCAAAATAGTTCTCACTCAAAACTGCTTAAAAACCAGCAATTTAAAAGAAAGAATAATTTTTAATGTCTAGGCATTTAACGAATTACAGTGCATTAAAAGTTTAGATTAGTCAATAGAAATATGAGGTTACAATCACAAATTTCGCGGATGAATATCTTTTTTACCCAATGAAAAATGTTCGGCTATTTCCGAAAAGCTTCGGATTATCATGAATATCATTTTAATCAATGAAAATGCTATTTTTAGCTATGTCGATTACCGAATACTCCAGAGCTTAGTACACAAATAAATCTGACTGTCGAGTAGTGGAATATATACATGTCGGACTGTTTTGGCGAGAAGATTTTCGCTAAATTATTTTCATCAGTGTTAAACAACAGGTTTATCGTGAACAAAATACCTCGACATTAATAAGGATTGCAAACACGAAATGGAAATTCTCAATTTAGAATTACATAATGTATTCGTTTTTATTCAAGGTACATATGTATTACTTCGCCGTGGTGCAGAGATAAGCGGTCTCGTTGAGGGTGTGAGAGGCCTATGGTTCAAATCCTAGTCGAGGCAATTCTATTTTTTTTCATGCAAAATTCCATATGTATCAATCTCAAACTGTTATAGAAGAAAATCAAAACGCTGTCGCTGTGTAAGATGAATTATAGTATATAAAAATAAACTTATACAGGAAAGTACATACAGATAGTCAGTATGATTTAGATTGCAAAGATCAGAAAATACCATAGAGCTGCAGCCCTTTGATTTCTATATTAACTTGAAGTCCCCAGTAATTGCAATAATCATATAATTTGTTTAAACTAGTCTGTAAGTCCTGCACAGAATTACCAATTAAAACCATATCGTCTGCAAACATTAGTAATATTACACAAATATCATACATTGTTAAACCTGACGTGTTCGTATCTTGCAAAAATAATTATAAATCCTCTAGAAATAACGCGAACAAGGCAGGAGAATTATTAAGACCTTGTCTTAGACCGATTGATATTTCGAAGAAGTCTGAGTACTTATTACAACTTTTAACGCACGATTTTACTACAGCACACATTGCCCTAAACGTTTGTAGAATTTTACCATTGATGCCCATATTGAAAAGTTTGAACCACAGTGCATTGCGGTAGACGGAGTCGAAGGCTTTCTGCAGATCAATGAATGCGCAGGGCAGTCTCAACTTTTGTGTTAAAACGTGTTCTATTAAGTTATGTAATACAAAAGCCGCATCAACCGTACTCCTACCCTTTCTAAAACCAAACTGAGCGTCTGAAACAAAATTGTTTTTTCGAACCATTTTTCAATTCTACCTGTCAGTATACTTGTATACAATTTTCCCAGATTGCTTAATAAAGTGATCCCACGATAATTATTTGGCAAATTTTTATCTCCCTTTTTAAAGATAGGCACTATAAATCCTTGAGCCAGGATTCTGGGAATTGTCCAGAATTGAACACTTTGTTGAATAAATCAGTAATATGGCTACCAAGTATATCAATTGTTTCTATTAAATATTCGTTAATTAAGTGATCACTAGGACACGATGATTTGTTGCGCTTAAGACTTTTTACTACTGTGATAACCTCTTGTAGCGATACAGGG